TTGAAACCATGCTAGTGAGTGCCCTCTGTGTGTTGCAATTAAATCTTGGTTGGAATAAGTATTTTCCATTCAAGAAAGAAAGATAGGAAAGAGGAATTTTAAAAGCACAGAGCCATTTCTAATAATTTCAGATTAGAACCTTGTAAATAATTGATATCTGCTTGATTTTGCTGGCTGGACTTAAACCACGACAAGTGAGTAATAGTGTGAAAAGTAGTTCAAACTGAAAAGGATCTTTGTTTGCTGAAGAACCCCTGCCTACCTGATGAACAACATCTTTTGTCCCTGCAAATAATTTAATATTTTTAATAAAGCAAAGGGTAAACTTTGGTATTACTATCCAAAAACTTAGAGCTCTATGTGGGCAGTGATCAGCATCTCCTCTTTCTTTTTCGTCAATATTTAAGCATGCTTTTGTCCAGAAAGAGAATGTTTGTGATGTTGTTGCCGGGGCTTCCTACAGTAGGACTGCTTGAATGCTCATTGCTTAAGAGCTGGATATGTGCTAAATAATGGAGTTTAGAGAGGAAGAGAAGGTGATATAGCAAGAGCAGCCTTATTTGGGCATTGTGTGTGTTTTGGGGTGTGTTTTAAACTATCAATAAAAGGGGAGAAGGGAAAGAAAGGAAATTTTTTTTTCCAGGTGAAATAATGCAAAACAATGCAAAAAAGTTGGATCAGTTGAAATGGCATTTCTGTTGAAGCTGAGTATTAGAAAAGGCACTCAAAATAAAATGCCATTTTGTTTAATGCCTAAAAATACATAAATTAGAATTAGTAAAAGCTGAGACTAAAACTTGGATCTGAAAGAGGATCAACTGACAATAGAACAGTTTTTTTATGTTACCTTAAGAAGTACAAATCAATGTATTCCAATAATGAAGTGGTTTGCCTACCTAGTGTGAATGTCCCTAATGCAGAGGTTGCAAGTTTCACAGCTAGGAAAAAAGCACCCCATGAAGCAAACCATTGAATATTCCAAATGAACTTGCTAAATTTGTATGTGTTTTCAATAGAATCTTGTTGAAAATTTACTGAAGTCAGCGAAAGAGGCCAGTGAATGGGCCAGGCTTTCAAGTGATTGGTATGTCCTGTATGTGCATTGCTTATTCTTCTGAATTATTTTCTTGAGCTTCCGTGGCAGGGAGAGTAAAAGCAAATTCCAGAAGGCATCAAAGATAAGAGGATTGATACTTATTTTCTGTGATAGTGAGGGATGCCACGTCTGCACTTTTTTCCCCTCATTTTTGAGGGGAAGGAACAAGAATATTGATAAGAAATGAAAGGATCTTCCAAAGTTTGTTGCTGTAATGGGTTTTACACAGGTTTACCTTAGCCCTACCTGTTGCTGGAAAAGAACCTTCGTCTTGATAGCTTGAATGAGGATCTATGGGTTTTTTGGGAACTATGCAAATAGATTTTAACACCTTTGGAAATTCATTCACATCCAAGTTCATAGGTATTTTTCTATTATTATTTATAGCCTATATCATATTTTTTTATGAGTAGATTTATAACAGGATTTAACATACAGTTATTTTGCAAGAGTGTTAAAATGCATTGTGTCTTTAGGACGTATGACTGGAAGTGCGGGGCATCCTGGGTCACTTGAATTCAATCCCTTGTTATTGCAACAGCCAGGTCATCCTATTGTGAATTTTCATCTGAAAACATCAGGTTGTTTCATTTCTAACCTGAATTTCTTCATGGCCAATTGCTTACCATTTATTCTTATGCCAGCATGGTCCTTGAGCTTCATTAGTTCTTACCCTTCTCAGGTGTTTGCCTCTGGATCTATTTATACACATCAGTCATACTCCTTTTTAACTGTCCTTTTGCTAGAGTAAATGAGCATCTTTATGTCCAACTCATCATAAATGCCAGGCAGGAGTTATTTAACAGGAGAAGGTAAGTGTTGTTTCAGTTCAGAGAGATCCAGTTGTTCAGGAATATTTACAATTACAAAATCCACAATGAAGTACATTGTAAATTCTGAATTAACTTTTCATTGTTCAGCTGCAGAGTGGTTTTGTGCTGAGAAGTGTTTCTATTTGACAGATTCTTTTTACTAAGATATTTCTTGGAGCCATGACAGTTGTCCTGTTTTTTCCACTGCTTCTCATTATATGGATTTTATATCTTAGCTATACCTTCCGTCACTAAAACTTCCTAATCCATTGAAACACCTATGCTAATCTCTTGGCAGAAACATACTTTTTTTGCTTTTGTCCATGCCTGATATTACATTAATGTATTTTATTAGTTAATTATCTGCCTTCTGATTGTCTAAGAACAGTTTACATCCTGTGAAGTTCAGTGTTTTTTATAGTTACATCTTAAAGCCATACACAAGGCAACATGGCTAAAGCTAAAACAATGAAATGAGGTTAAAGGCAGACCAGGAGTTCAGTGCCTTTCAAACACAGTGACATGCTCACAGGATGGGGCCTGCAACTCTGGTTACTGTTAAAATGTGGACAAGAGCACATCATGGTGAGTATGTGTCCTTAGTATGTATGCTCCTTAAACAGGTTTCAAAGCTACACGTGGCTTCAAATTTACAAATATATTCAGAAACCTGTCTCTCTCACTTGTTGTCACCCTGTTACTCACCTTCCTACATTGTGTTTAATGTCTTGCATTAGCAGCTATTATCCCCAGTTGCAGTTCTCCCACATAATGGGGAATTCCTCCTCAGTTCCCTTATTTTT